CCATAGTAATTAATTTTTATTACTTAAGAGAATAAAAAGAGGAATACCTTAAAACATAATTTATATTATATCTATATTAAGAAATTAAAATAAGAAATATAATTTATATTACATCTGTATTAAAATATTAAAATTTTTTATTTAGTACAAAAGAAGAATGCAATTTAAATAAAGAACAAATATCTACAAGATAAATGTATTTTTATTTAAATAAAAGCATTTATTCATTTCTAATTAATTTTCATTTCTTGTTGAAGATGAAAAATTTATTTTAAAAAAATTAAACTAAATTTTGATTCCTATACTTCGGCAAGATACATTTTATTTCAAATGAAAGCATTTATTTATTTCTAATTATTATTTTTCATTTTTTGTCAGACAAAAAATATATAAACAAATATATATATGCATATAAAATTTTTACATTGATTTCATTTATCATAAACTTCTGCATTCATGACAAATATTAATAATATCTTGGTTGCTTGAAATCTTAATTTGATTTATTTTAAACTAGTCGATTATATTTAACTTTTTTGATAACAGTACCTGTTTGAGTAATTTTTTTTGTTATTAAAAGTCTAATTTATATTTGATTCTTTCTTGTTAAGTTTATTTGTTGAAAAAACTAGTTTTTTTTATAAATTTTTGTACAAACTAAGTATATCAAACATTTTTGAATAAGCATTCGAATGAAAATTTAAAATCAGTAATATTATTGTTATAACAATCATTGTTACATATATGTATGATATTAATATAAAAATAGCTTATTTTATTATTATTATATATACAGATCATGCTGAATCAATAACTTAACCAGATTAGCAGAAAAATTATTCAGCCAATTTTTACAGATGTCCCAAGAATTATGATAATAGCTGTAATGGTAAGCTGTGTTTGCTGAATTATATTCATTATACTTATTATAGTCAGGTTATATAAATATTTTGAATTAAGTCTAATTTTTTATTCCAGTCAAGTTATACAGTCAGTTCTTTTTTGATCGATTTGTATATCACACCAGTTACTAGATATGTTGATTTAAATTCAACTTGCTTATCTTAGCTGTGTTTGCTGAATTATATTTATTATACTTATTACAGCTAGGCTATATAAACATTTTAAATTAGGTCCAATTTTTGATTCCAGTCAAGTTGTTCTAGTCGGGTCTTTTTTGGCTGATTTACATGTTCTACCGGTCACTAGGTATATTAATTTAGATTTAACTTGCTTATTTAAGGTTTATTATATTTATTATAGCTAGGTTATGTAAACATTTTGAATAAGGTCCAATTCTTTATTACAGTCAAGTTATTCCTGTCAGATCTTTTTTTGGTCAATTTGTGTGTTTTACTAGTCTAGATATGTTGATTTAAATTCAATTTGCATATCTTAGCCATGTTTGCTGAATTATATTCATTATATTTATTATAGCCAGATTACATGAATATTTTGAATTGGGTCTAATTCTTTATTCTAGTCAAGTTATTCTAGTCAGGTCTTTTTTGGTTGACTTGCATGTTCTACCAGTCTAGATATATTAATTTAAATTCAAATTGCTTATCTCAGCCATGTTTGCTAAATTATGTTCATCATATTTATTACAGCCAGGTTACATGAACATTTTGAATTAGGTCAAATTCTTTATTCCAGTTAAGTCATTTCAGTCAGGTTTTTTTGTTTAATTTATGTGTTCTACTAGTCACTTGGTATGTTGATAATTTAGATTTAACTTGCTTATCTCAGTCGTGTTTGCTAAATTATATTTATCATATTTATTATAGCCATGTTATATGAACATTTTGAATTAGGTTCAATTCTTTTCTTTATTCTAGTCAGGTCTTTTTTTGGTCAATTTTTATATTCTATCAGTTACTAGGTATATTGATTTAGATTCAACTTGCTCATTTAAGCCATGTTTGCTAAATTATGTTTATTATACTTATTATAGCCAGGTTATTTGAACATTTTGAATTAGGTCCAATTCTTTATTCTAGTCAAGTTATTCCGGTCAGGTCTTTTTTGGTAGATTTGCATGTTCTACCTGTCACTAGGTATGTTGATTTAAATTTAACTTGCTTATCTTAGCCATGTTTGCTAAATTATATTTATCATACTTATTATAGCAGGTTATATGAATATTTTGAATTAGATTCAATTCTTTATTCTAGTCAAGTTATTCCAGTCAGGTCTTTTTTGGTTAACTTGCATTTTCCACCGGTCTAGGTATGTTAATTTAAATTTAACTTGCTTATCTCAGCCATGTTTGCTGAATTATATTCATTATATTTATTATAGCCGAGTTACATAAACATTTTGAATTAGGTTCAATTCTTTATTCTAGTCAAGTCATTTTAGTCAGGTCTTTTTTGGTCAATTTACATGTTCTACTGGTCACTTGATATATTAATAGTTTGGATATCTTAGCTATATTTGCTGAATTATGTTCATTATACTATTACAGCTAGGTTACATAAATATTTTGAATTAGATCCAATTCTTTATTCCAGAAAATCATTTTAGTTGGGTCTTTTTTGGTCAATTTACATGTTCTACCAGTCACTTGGTATATTGATAATTTAGATTCAACTTGCTTATATCAGCCATGTTTGCTAAATTATGTTCATCATATTTATTATAGCCGAGTTATATAAACATTTTGAATTAGGTCCAATTCTTTTCTTTATTCTTGTCAGGTCTTTTTTGGTTAATTTGTATGTTTTACAGGTTACTAGACATGTTGATTTAGATTCAACTTGCTTATTTAAACTGTGTTTGCTGAATTATATTTATTATACTTATTATAGCTAGGTTATATAAATATTTTGAATTAGGTCTAATTCTTTATTCCAGTCAAGTTATTCCAGTCGGGTTATTTTGGTTAATTTTCATGTTTCACCAGTCACTAGGTATGTTAATTTAGATTCAACTTGTTTATTTAAGCCATGTTTGCTGAATTATATTCATTATATTTATTACCGCCAGATTATGTATACATTTTGAATTAGGTCCAATTCTTTATTCTAGTCAAGTGATTCCAGTTGGGTCTTTTTTGGTCTATTTGCATGTTCTAACTTGGTATGTTGATAATTTAGATTCAACTTGCTTATCTCAGTCATGTTTGCTAAACTTATTACAGCTACAATTAATAATTTTTAGCTTAAGAAGCTGATTATCAAAGCAATCAAGTGCGATCAATCTAGAACAATCACTAATTCCAGCCGCTGGGTTATATAAACATTTTGAATTAGGTTTAATTTTTTGTTCCAGTCAAGTTATTCCAATTGGGTCTTTTTTGGTCGATTTACATGTTTTACCGATTACTAGATATGTTGATTTAAATTTAGCTTGCTTATCTCAGCTATGTTTGCTGAATTATGCTCATTATACTTTTTACAGCTAGGTTATTTAAATATTTTAAATTAGGTCCAATTTTTTATTCTTGTCAAGTTATTCCAGTCAGATCTTTTTTGGTTGACTTGCGTGTTCTACCGGTTTAGGTATATTAATTTAAATTTAACTTGCTTATCTCAGCCATGTTTGCTAAATTATGTTCATTATATTTATTTTAGCTAGGTTATATAAATATTTTGAATTAGGTCTAGTTCTTTATTCTAGTCAAGTTATTCTAGGCAGGTTTTTTTTGGTTAACTTGTGTGTTCTACTAGTCACTAAGTATATTGATTTAAATTCAACTTGCTTATTTCAGCTATATTTTCTGAATTATGTTTATTATATTTATTATAGCTAGATTATATGAACATTTTGAATTAGGTCCAATTCTTTATCCAGTCAAGTTATTCTAGTCAGGTCTTTTTTGGTCGACTTGCATATTCTACTAATCTAGATATATTGATTTAAATTCAACTTGCTTATCTCTGCCATGTTTGCTGAATTATGTTATTATATTTGTTATAGCTAGGATACATGAATATTTTAAATTAGGTCCAATTCTTTACTCTAGTAAGTCATTTTAGTTGGGTCTTTTTTGGTCAATTTACGTGTTCCACTAATCACTTGGTATGTTGATAATTTAGATTTAACTTGCTCAATTTAGCCAAGCTACTTGTTGGAGTTATTTGATATATTGAGTTAGACTCAACTTCTTTTTCAATTGGTATGTTTAAATTTTATTATTCAATTATATGTCTTCTTGATAATTTCTACCAGTTTATTTTTTATATTGAATTTCAGATGAGTATGTTTAATTAAAAATTACAGTGCAATTTATATATGAGAATATGTCAATTACATTGTTATTTGTTCTATTGATCCTTAACAAAGGTCAATTAAATTTTTTACTATAACAAATGAACATTACTAACTAATTGATTGAATATGAAAGCAATTCTAAAGCAATGTGCATAAGTTCAAAAACGAATTATGCATCTTAATTTTTTTATATAATTACACTTTTGTAAAGGTTGTTGCTCCCTGAATGTTATTTCTTGCACTTTTTTTATAGAGTTAACAGGCTACTTACCCAATACTACATAGGGTTAAATAATTTATTACACAAATTTCAGTTTAATACAGTTCATATTCATTGTGTCAGAAAACTTAAAAATGTTGGAACAAATATGTACATATATATATCTTATGCATTTCATTATTCTGAGAAATAATTAAGTAATATGAAGAAAAAATCTGCAAATCTTACTAAATAAGATTTGTATTTTTTTCATATTATGATTTGCATCATTATAGTTAAATTTGTTTGTTTGTTTTTTTTTTTTTTTTTTTTAATATTTAAGGTTTATATTTGTTTTTGTTTTTTTAATGTTTAAGGTTTATATTTGTTTTTGTTTATTTTTTTAATGTTTAAGGTTTATATTTGTTTTTGTTTAATCTATTAGAGATAGAAATATATTTTATTTAAATATATATATATGTAAATTTTTTTAGAAATATTGTAATTTTTAAAATTTGATTTTTTACAAATTAATTTTAATAAATCTATCAATTTTAATAAACCTTAATCTTTTTAAATTTTGAATATGTCACAATCTCCTATTAATATAGATGATAGTTTTGAAAATAATACTTTTAAAGATGATACCTATGAAGATGATACTTATGAAGATAATACTTATAAAAATAATACTATTATTGAATCTAATAATATAGAAATTGAAACTATTACCAAATCTAGTACTCAAGATATAGAAATTGATTTTAAAGATATAAATAGTATTGAAGATATAGATAATAATTCAAGTTCTAAAAAAACAAAAAGATCACTTCTAATAGTTTATAGATATTATAGATATAATAGAAGGACAAACCAATTTAAATACAAGCTTTGTTCATAAGTTTTATTTTATAGTATATATTTAAATTTAAATTATTTTGATAAATAAAATTTAAAAATAATTCTTTTTAAATTTAGAAAAAAATATAAAAAACCAAGTGATTATTTAACTAGTACTTTAAGAAAACATATTAGAAATATTCATTAAATTAATTTTACAGAATTGAAAGTTAAAAAATATCAAAATGTAAAATTTTAAATATTTAATATTGGGGTGTGGCGATCTAGTGTAGTGGTTAGGTTGTCACCCCCACCAAGTGGCAGGTCAAGAGTTCGAAACCCACTGTC